AGATGCGAAATCCGTACCGGTACAAAATGTGAAGCAATGTTACTCGGATCATGGACCGCCCAGCACGATCGTGTTTGCCACAATCCTAGATACCTTGGGACGAGATTCCAGCTCTTTTTTCCTTCAAACGGGCCCGCCGCATGAAGAACCGTCCCCATATAGGGCGTTTGTGAGCCCGGGAAGCTGCGAAATCCGTACCGGTATAAAATGTGAAGCAATGTTACTCGGATCATGGACCGCCCAGCACGATCGTGTTTGCCACAATCCTAGATACCTTGGGACGAGATTCCAGCTCTTTTTGCCTTCAAACGGGCCCGCCGCATGAAGAACCGTCCCCATATAAGGGCGTTTGTGAGCCCGGGAAGATGCGAAATCCGTACCGGTATAAAATGTGAAGCAATGTTACTCGGATCATGGACCGCCCAGCACGATCGTGTTTGCCACAATCCTAGATACCTTGGGACGAGATTCCAGCTCTTTTTTCCTTCAAACGGGCCCGCCGCATGAAGAACCGTCCCCATATAAGGGCGTTGTTGAGCCCGGGAAGCTGTGAAATCCGTACCGGTATAAAATGTGAAGCAATGTTACTCGGATCATGGACCAGCCCAGCACGATCGTGTTTGCCACAATCCTAGATACCTTGGGACGAGATTCCAGCTCTTTTTGCCTTCAAACGGGCCCGCCGCATGAAGAACCGTCCCCATATAAGGGCGTTTGTGAGCCCGGGAAGCTGCGAAATCCGTACCGGTACTAAATGTGAAGCAATGTTACTCGGATCATGGACCGCCCAGCACGATCGTGTTTGCCACAATCCTAGATACCTTGGGACGAGATTCCAGCTCTTTTTGCCTTCAAACGGGCCCGCCGCATGAAGAACCGTCCCCATATAAGGGCGTTTGTGAGCCCGGGAAGCTGTCGAAATCCGTACCGGTACAAAATGTGAAGCAATGTTACTCGGATCATGGACCCGCCCAGCACGATCGTGTTTGCCACAATCCTAGATACCTTGGGACGAGATTCCAGCTCTTTTTGCCTTCAAACGGGCCCGCCGCATGAAGAACCGTCCCCATATAAGGGCGTTTGTGAGCCCGGGAAGATGCGAAATCCGTACCGGTATAAAAATGTGAAGCAATGTTACTCGGATCATGGACCGCCCAGCACGATCGTGTTTGCCACAATCCTAGATACCTTGGGACGAGATTCCAGCTCTTTTTTCCTTCAAACGGGCCCGCCGCATGAAGAACCGTCCCCATATAAGGGCGTTTGTGAGCCCGGGAAGCTGTGAAAATCCGTACCGGTATAAAATGTGAAGCAATGTTACTCGGATCATGGACCGCCCAGCACGATCGTGTTTGCCACAATCCTAGATACCTTGGGACGAGATTCCAGCTCTTTTTGCCTTCAAACGGGCCCGCCGCATGAAGAACCGTCCCCATATAAGGGCGTTTGTGAGCCCGGGAAGCTGCGAAATCCGTACCGGTACAAAATGTGAAGCAATGTTACTCGGATCATGGACCGCCCAGCACGATCGTGTTTGCCACAATCCTAGATACCTTGGGACGAGATTCCAGCTCTTTTTGCCTTCAAACGGGCCCGCCGCATGAAGAACTGTCCCCATATAAGGGCGTTTGTGAGCCCGGGAAGATGCGAAATCCGTACCGGTACAAAATGTGAAGCAATGTTACTCGGATCATGGACCGCCCAGCACGATCGTGTTTGCCACAATCCTAGATACCTTGGGACGAGATTCCAGCTCTTTTTGCCTTCAAACGGGCCCGCCGCATGAAGAACCGTCCCCATATAAGGGCGTTTGTGAGCCCGGGAAGATGCGAAATCCGTACCGGTATAAAATGTGAAGCAATGTTACTCGGATCATGGACCGCCCAGCACGATCGTGTTTGCCACAATCCTAGATACCTTGGGACGAGATTCCAGCTCTTTTTTCCTTCAAACGTGGCCGCCGCATGAAGAACCGTCCCCATATAAGGGCGTTTGTGAGCCCGGGAAGCTGCGAAATCCGTACCGGTATAAAATGTGAAGCAATGTTACTCGGATCATGGACCGCCCAGCACGATCGTGTTTGCCACAATCCTAGATACCTTGGGACGAGATTCCAGCTCTTTTTGCCTTCAACGGGCCCGGCCGCATGAAGAACCGTCCCCATATAAGGGCGTTTGTGAGCCCGGGAAGCTGCGAAATCCCGTACCGGTATAAAATGTGAAGCAATGTTACTCGGATCATGGACCGCCCAGCACGATCGTGTTTGCCACAATCCTAGATACCTTGGGACGAGATTCCAGCTCTTTTTGCCTTCAAACGGGCCCGCCGCATGAAGAACCGTCCCCATATAAGGGCGTTTGTGAGCCCAGGGAAGCTTGCGAAATCCGTACCGGTATAAAATGTGAAGCAATGTTACTCGGATCATGGACCGCCCAGCACGATCGTGTTTGCCACAATCCTAGATACCTTGGGACGAGATTCCAGCTCTTTTTTCCTTCAAACGGGGCCCGCCGCATGAAGAACCGTCCCATATAAGGGCGTTTGTGAGCCCGGGAAGATGTGAAATCCGTACCGGTATAAAAATGTGAAGCAATGTTACTCGGATCATGGACCGCCCAGCACGATCGTGTTTGCCACAATCCTAGATACCTTGGGACGAGATTCCAGCTCTTTTTGCCTTCAAACGGGCCCGCCGCATGAAGAAACCGTCCCCATATAAGGGCGTTTGTGAGCCCGGGAAGCTGCGAAATCCGTACCGGATACAAATGTGAAGCAATGTTACTCGGATCATGGACCGCCCAGCACGATCGTGTTTGCCAACAATCCTAGATACCTTGGGACGAGATTCCAGCTCTTTTTTCCTTCAAACGGGCCCGCCGCATGAAGAACCTGTCCCCATATAAGGGCGTTTGTGAGCCCGGGAAGCTGTCGAAATCCTACCGTATAAAATGTGAAGCAATGTTACTCGGATCATGGACCGCCCAGCACGATCGTGTTTGCCACAATCCTAGATACCTTGGGACGAATCTGCAGCTCTTTTTTCCTTCAAACGGCCCGCCGCATGAAGAACCGTCCCATATAAGGGCGTTTGTGAGCCCGGGAAGATGCGAATCCGTACCGGTATAAAATGTGAAGCAATGTTACTCGGATCATGGACCGCCCAGCACGATCGTGTTTGCCACAATCCTAGATACCTTGGGACGAGATTCCAGCTCTTTTTTGGCCTTCAAACGGGCCCGCCGCATGAAGAACCGTCCCCATATAAGGGCGTTTGTGAGCCCGGGGAAGCTGCGAAATCCGTACCGGTATAAAATGTGAAGCAATGTTTACTCGGATCATGGACCCGCCAGCACGATCGTGTTTGCCACAATCCTAGATACCTTGGGACGAGATTCCAGCTCTTTTTTCCTTCAAACGGGCCCGCCGCATGAAGAACCGTCCCCATATAAGGGCGTTTGTGAGCCCGGGAAGCTGCGAAATCCGTACCGGTATAAAAATGTGAAGCAATGTTACTCGGATCATGGACCGCCGCGCACGATCGTGTTTGCCACAATCCTAGATACCTTGGGACGAGATTCCAGCTCTTTTTTCCTTCAAACGGGCCCGCCGCATGAAGAACCTCCCCATATAAGGGCGTTTGTGAGCCCGGGAAGCTGCGAAATCCGTACCGGTATAGAAATGTGAAGCAATGTTACTCGGATCATGGACCGCCCAGCACGATCGTGTTTGCCACAATCCTAGATACCTTGGGACGAGATTCCAGCTCTTTTGCCTTCAAAACGGGCCCGCGTCATGAAGAACCGTCCCCATATAAGGGCGTTTGTGAGCCCGGGGAAGCTGCGAAATCCGTACCGGTACTAAATGTGAAGCAATGTTACTCAGATCATGGACCGCCCAGCACGATCGTGTTTGCTACAATCCTAGATACCTTGGGACGAGATTCCAGCTCTTTTTTCCTTCAAACGGGCCCGCCGCATGAAGAACCCGTCCCCAATATAAGGGCGTTTGTGAGCCCGGGAGAAGCTGTGAAATCCGTACCGGGTATAAAATGTGAAGCAATGTTACTCGGAGTCATGGACCGCCCAGCACGATCGTGTTGTGCCACAATCCTAGATACCTTGGGACGAGATTCCAGCTCTTTTTGCCTTCAAACGGGCCCGCCGCATGAAGAACCTTCCTCCCATATACGGGCGTTTGTGAGCCCGGGAGGAATGCTGTGAAATCCGTACCGGTATAAAATGTGAAGCAATGTTACTCGGATCATGGACCGCCCAGCACGATCGTGTTTGCCACAATCCTAGATACCTTGGACGAGATTTCCAGCTCTTTTTCCTTCAAAACGGGCCGCCGCATGAAGAACCGTCCCCATATAAGGGGCGTTTGTAGAGGCCCGGGGAAGCTGCGAAATCCGTACCGGTATAAAAATGTGAGCAATGTTACTCGGATCATGGACCGCCCCAGCACGATCGTGTTTTGCCACAATCCTAGATACATTGGGACGAGATTTCCAGCTCTTTTTGCCTTCAAACGGGCCGCCGCATGAAGAACCGTCCCCATAGTAAGGGCTTTGTGAGCCCGGGAAGCTGTGAAATCCGTACGCGTTATGAAATGTGAAGCAATGTTACTCGGGAGTCATGAGACCAGCCCAGCACGATCGTGTTTGCCACAATCCTAGAGACCTTGGGACAGATTCCAGCTCTTTTTCCTTCAGAACGGGCCCCGCCGCATGAAGAACCGTCCCCATATAAGGGCGTTTGTGAGCCGGGAAGCTGCGAAATCCGTACCATGTATAAATGTGAAGCAATGTTCACTCGGATCATAGGGCCCGCCCAGCACGATCGTGTTTGCCACAATCCTAGATACCTTGGGACGAGATTCCAGCTCTTTTTTCCTTCAAACGGGCCCGCCGCATGAAGAACCGTCCCCATATAAGGGCGTTTGTGAGCCCGGGAAGCTGTGAAATCCGTACCGGTATAAAATGTGAAGCAATGTTACTCGGATCATGGACCGCCCAGCACGATCGTGTTTGCCACAATCCTAGATACCTTGGGACGAGATTCCAGCTCTTTTTGCCTTCAAACGGGCCCGCCGCATGAAGAACCGTCCCCATATAAGGGCGTTTGTGAGCCCGGGAAGCTGCGAAATCCGTACCGGTACAAAATGTGAAGCAATGTTACTCGGATCATGGACCGCCCAGCACGATCGTGTTTGCCACAATCCTAGATACCTTGGGACGAGATTCCAGCTCTTTTTTCCTTCAATCGGCGCCGGTGCATGAAGAACCGTCCCCATATAAGGGCGTTTGTGAGCCCGGGAAGCTGCGAAATCCGTACCGGTATAAAATGTGAAGCATTGTTACTCGGATCATGGACCGCCCATCACGATCGTGTTTGCCACAATCGATGTCCACGTCCACGTCCACGTCCACGTCCACGTCCATGTCCACGTCCATGTCCACACGTCCACGTCCACGTCCACGTCCACGTCCAGGTCCACGTCCACGTCCATGTCCACGTCCACGTCCACGTCCACGTCCATGTCCACGTCCATGTCCACGTCCACGTCCACGTCCACGTCCTCGTCCACGTCCACGTCCATGTCCACGTTCACGTTCACGTCCACGTCCACGTCCACGTCCACGTCCATGTCCATGTCCACGTCCACGTCAACGTCCACGTCCACGTCCACGTCCATGTCCATGTCACGTCCACGTCCATGTCCATGTCCACGTCCACGTCCACGTCCATGTCCACGTCCATGTCCACGTCCACGTCCACGTCCACGTCCGTTCCACGTCCACGTCCACGTCCACGTCCACGTCCACGTCCATGTCCACGTCCACGTCCACGTCCAGTCCACGTCCACGTCCACGTCCACGTCAACGTCCACGTCAACGTCCACGTCCACGTCCACGTCCATGTCCATGTCCACGTCCACGTCCAGTCCATGTCCACGTCCACGTCCATGTCCACGTCCATGTCCATGTCCCATGTCCACGTCCACGTCCATGTCCATCCATGTCCACGTCCACGTGTCCATGTCCACGTCCACGTCCACGTCCATGTCCACGTCCATGTCCACGTCCATGTCCACGTCCACGTCCACGTCCATGTCCACGTCCACGTCCACGTCCATGTCCCGTCCACGTAAACGTCCACGTCCACGTCCACGTCCAGGTCCACGTCCACGTCCACGTCCACATCCACGTCCACGTCCATGTCCATGTCCACGTCCACGTCCATGTCCACGTCCACGTCCACGTCCACGTCCATGTCCACGTCCATGTCCACGTCCAAGTCCACGTCCAAGTCCACGTCCACGTCCACGTCCAAGTCCACGTCCAAGTCCACGTCCACGTCCCGTCCGCGTCCATGTCCATGTCCACGTCCACGTCCATGTCCACGTCCACGTTCACGTACAGGTCCACGTCCACGTCCACGTCCATGTCCACGTCCACGTTCACGTCAGGTCCACGTCCACGTCCACGTCCATGTCCACGTCCACGTCCACGTCCATGTCCACGTCCACGTCCACGTCCACGTCCACGTCCACGTCCCGTCCACGTCCACGTCCACGTCCAGGTCCACGTCCACGTCCACGTCCATGTCCACGTCCACGTCCACGTCCATGTCCACGTCCATGTCCACGTCCATGTCCACGTCCACGTCCACGTCCATGTCCACGTCCACGTCCACGTCCACGTCCACGTCCACGTCCACGTCCACGTCCACGTCCATGTCCAGGTCCACGTCCAAGTCCACGTCCACGTCCACGTCCATGTCCACGTCCACGTCCACGTCCACGTCCACGTCCAAGTCCACGTCCACGTCCACGTCCACGTCCACGTCCACGTCCACGTCCACGTCCAGGTCCACGTCCAAGTCCACGTCCACGTCCACGTCCACGTCCAGTCCAGGTCCACGTCCACGTCCACGTCCACGTCCATGTCCACGTCCACGTCCACGTCCACGTCCACGTCCACGTCCACGTCCACGTCCACGTCCAGGTCCACGTCCAAGTCCACGTCCACGTCCACGTCCACGTCCAGGTCCACGTCCACGTCCACGTCCACGTCCACGTCCAAGTCCACGTCAACGTCCACGTCCACGTCCACGTCCATGTCCATGTCCACGTCCACGTCAACGTCCACGTCCACGTCCACGTCCACGTCCACGTCCACGTCCTGTCCACGTCCACGTCCACGTCCATGTCCACGTCCATGTCCACGTCCACGTCCATCCCACGTCCACGTCCACGTCCACGTCCACGTCCAGTCCACGTCCACGTTCACGTCCATGTCCACGTCCACGTCCACATCCACGTCCACGTCCACGTCCACGTCCATGTCCACGTCCACGTCCACGTCCACGGTCACGTCCACGTCCATGTCCATGTCCACGTCCACGTCCACGTCCACGTCCACGTCCACGTCCACGTCCATGTCCATGTCCACGTCCACGTCCACGTCCACGTCCACGTCCACGTCCATGTCCACGTCCATGTCCCAACCACGTCCATGTCCACGTCCACGTCCACGTCCACGTCCAAGTCCAGGTCCACGTCCACGTCCACGTCCACGTCCACGTCCAGTCCACGTCCACATCCACGTCCACGTCCACGTCCACGTCCAGTCCAGTCCACGTCCAAGTCCACGTCCACGTCCACGTCCACGTCCAAGTCCAGTCCACGTCCACGTCCACGTCCACGTCCATGTCCACGTCCACGTCCACGTCCACATCCACGTCCACGTCCACGTCCACGTCCACTCCACAACCACGTCCATGTCCACGTCCAGGTCCACGTCCAAGTCCACGTCCACTTCCACGTCCACGTCCGGTCCACGTCCACGTCCACGTCCACGTCCACGTCCATGTCCACGTCCATGTCCACGTCCACGTCCACGTCCACGTCCACGTCCACGTCCACGTCCACGTCCAGGTCCACGTCCACGTTCACGTCCATGTCCACGTCCACGTCCACGTCCACGTCCACGTCCACGTCCATGTCCACGTCCACGTCCACGTCCACGTCCACGTCCACGTCCATGTCCATGTCCACGTCCACGTCCACGTCCACGTCCACGTCCACGTCCACGTCCACGTCCACGTCCATGTCCATGTCCACGTCCACGTCCACGTCCACGTCCACGTCCACGTCCATGTCCACGTCCTGTCCCAACCACGTCCATGTCCACATCCACGTCCACGTCCACGTCCAAGTCCAGGTCCACGTCCACGTCCACGTCCACGTCCACGTCCAAGTCCACGTCCACATCCACGTCCCACGTCCACGTCCACGTCCACGTCCACGTCCATGTCCACGTCCACGTCCACGTCCATGTCCACGTCCATGTCCACGTCCATGTCCACGTCCACGTCCACGTCCACGTCCACGTCCACGTCCATGTCCATGTCCACGTCCACGTCCACGTCCATGTCCCGTCCACGTCCACGTCCACGTCCATGTCCACGTCCACGTCCACGTCCACGTCCACGTCCACGTCCACGTCCCGTCCACGTCCATGTCCACGTCCACGTCAACGTCCACGTCCACGTCCATGTCCATGTCCACGTCCACGTCCACGTCCAGTCCACGTCCACGTCCACGTTCACGTCCATGTCCTTGTCCACGTCCACGTCCACGTCCACGTCCACGTCCACGTCCACGTCCCGTCCACGTCCACGTCCATGTCCACGTCCACGTCCACGTCCACGTCCATGTCCATGTCCACGTCCATGTCCACGTCCACGTCCAGGTCCACGTCCACGTCCAGTCCACGTCCACGTCCATGTCCACGTCCATGTCCACATCCACGTCCATGTCCACGTCCACGTCCATGTCCACGTCCACGTCCACGTCCATGTCCACGTCCACGTCCACGTCCACGTCCATGTCCATGTCCACGTCCAGTCCACGTCCACGTCCACGTCCACGTCCACGTCCACGTCCACGTCCACGTCCATGTCCACGTCCACGTAACGTCCACGTCCACGTCCATGTCCACGTCCACGTCCACGTCCATGTCAACGTCCAGGTCCACGTCCACGTCCACGTCCACGTCCACGTCCACGTCCATGTCCATGTCCACGTCCACGTCCACGTCCACGTCCACGTCCACGTCCACGTCCACGTCCACGTCCATGTCCACGTACACGTCCACGTCCACGTCCACGTCCACGTCCACGTCCACGTCCACGTCCATGTCCACGTCCACGTCCACGTCCATGTCCACGTCCATGTCCACGTCCACGTCCACGTCCACGTCCACGTCCACGTCCACGTCCATGTCCACGTCCACGTCCACGTCCACGTCCACGTCCACGTCCACGTCCACGTCCATGTCCACGTCCACGTCCACGTCCACGTCCACGTCCACGTCCACGTCCACGTCCATGTCCACGTCCACGTCCACGTCCACGTCCACGTCCATGTCCACGTCCACGTCCACGTCCACGTCCACGTCCACGTCCAGGTCCATGTCCACGTCCACGTCCACGTCCACGTCCACGTCCACGTCCATGTCCACGTCCACGTCCACAACTACGTCCATGTCCACGTCCACGTCCACGTCCATGTCCACGTCCACGTCCACGTCCACGTCCACGTCCATGTCCACGTCCATGTCCACGTCCACGTCCACGTCCACGTCCACGTCCACCCACGTCCATGTCCATGTCCACGTCCACGTCCACGTCCACGTCCATGTCCATGTCCACGTCCACGTCCACGTCCACGTCCACGCGTCACGTCCAGTCCACGTCCATGTCCACGTCCATGTCCACGTCCACGTCCATGTCCACGTCCACGTCCACGTCCATGTCCACGTCCACGTCCACGTCCATGTCCACTACGTCCACGTCCACGTCCACGTCCACGTCCACGTCCACGTCCACGTCCACGTCCACGTCCACGTCCAGTCCATGTCCACGTTCACGTCCACGTCCACGTCCACGTCCATGTCCACGTCCACGTCCATGTCCACGTCCACGTCCACGTCCACGTCCACGTCCACGTCCATGTCCACGTCCATGTCCACGTCCATGTCCACGTCCATGTCCACGTCGTCCCCATGTCCACGTCCATGTCCACGTCCACGTCCACGTCCACGTCCACGTCCATGTCCATGTCCACGTCCACGTCCACGTCCATGTCCACGTCCACGTCCACGTCCACGTCCATGTCCACGTCCACGTCCACGTCCACGTCCACGTCCACGTCCACGTCCACGTCCATGTCCACGTCCACGTCACGTCCACGTCCACGTCCATGTCCATGTCCACGTCCACGTCCACGTCCATGTCAACGTCCACGTCCACGTCCACGTCCATGTCCATGTCCACGTCCACGTCCACGTCCACGTCCACGTCCACGTCCACGTCCACGTCCACGTCCACGTCCACGTCCATGTCCACGTCCACGTCCACGTCCACGTCCATGTCCATGTCCACGTCCATGTCCACGTCCACGTCCAGGTCCACGTCCACGTCCACGTCCACGTCCACGTCCATGTGTCCACGTCCATGTCCACGTCCACGTCCATGTCCACGTCCACGTCCACGTCCACGTCCACGTCCACGTCCATGTCCACGTCCACGTCCACGTCCACGTCCATGTCCATGTCCACGTCCATGTCCACGTCCACGTCCACGTCCACGTCCACGTCCATGTCCACGTCCACGTCAACGTCCACGTCCACGTCCATGTCCATGTCCACGTCCACGTCCACGTCCATGTCAACGTCCAGGTCCACGTCCACGTCCACGTCCACGTCCACATCCACGTCACGTCCATGTCCACGTCCACGTCCACGTCCATGTCCACGTCCACGTCCACGTCCATGTCCACGTCCATGTCCACGTCCATGTCCACGTCCACGTCCACGTCCATGTTCACGTCCACGTAAACGTCCACGTCCACGTCCGGTCCAGGTCCACGTCCACGTCCACGTCCACGTCCATCCACGTCCACATCCAGTCCACGTCCATGTCCATGTCCATGTCCACGTCCAGGTCCACGTCCACGTCCAAGTCCACGTCCACGTCCACGTCCACGTCCATGTCCATGTCCATGTCCACGTCCACGTCCACGTCCACGTCCATGTCCACGTCCACGTTCACGTCCATGTCCACGTCCACGTCCACGTCCATGTCCACGTCCACGTCCACGTCCATGTCCACGTCCACGTCCACGTCCACGTCCACGTCCACGTCCACGTCCACGTCCACGTCCATGTCCATGTCCATGTCCACGTCCAAGTCCACGTCCACGTCCACGTCCACGTCCACGTCCAGTCCACGTCCACGTCCACGTCCACGTCCACGTCCACGTCCACGTCCACGTCCATGTCCACGTACACGTCCACGTACACGTCCACGTCCACGTCCACGTCCACGTCCACGTCCACGTCCATGTCCACGTCCACGTCCACGTCCATGTCCACGTCCATGTCCACGTCCACGTCCACGTCCACGTCCACGTCCACGTCCACGTCCACGTCCACGTCCACGTCCACGTCCACGTCCACGTCCACGTCCACGTCCACGTCCACGTCCACGTCCACGTCCACGTCCACGTCCACGTCCACGTCCACGTCCACGTCCACGTCCACGTCCCCCCCCACGTCCATGTCCACGTCCACTCCACGTCCATGTCCACGTCCATGTCCACGTCCACGTCCGTCCACGTCCACGTCCACGTCCACGTCCATGTCCACGTCCACGTCCACGTCCACGTCCACGTCCACGTCCACGTCCACGTCCACGTCCACGTCCACGTCCACGTCCACGTCCACGTCCACGTCCATGTCCACGTCACGTCCACGTCCACGTCCACGTCCACGTCCATGTCCACGTCCACGTCCACGTCCACGTCCACGTCCATGTCCACGTCCACGTCCACGTCCACGTCCACGTCCATGTCCATGTCCACGTCCACGTCCACGTCCACGTCCACGTCCACGTCCATGTCCACGTCCACGTCCACAACCACGTCCATGTCCACGTCCACGTCCACGTCCATGTCCACGTCCATGTCCACGTCCACGTCCACGTCCATGTCCACGTCCATGTCCACGTCCACGTCCACGTCCACGTCCACGTCCATGTCCATGTCCACGTTCACGTCCACGTCCACGTCCATGTCCACGTCCACGTCCACGTCCACGTCCACGTCCCCACGTCCATGTCCACGTCCATGTCCACGTCCACGTCCACGTCCATGTCCACGTCCACGTCCACGTCCATGTCCACGTCCACGTCCACGTCCTTGTCCACGTCCACGTCCACGTCCATGTCCACGTCCACGTCCACGTCCACGTCCACGTCCACGTCCAGGTCCAAGTCCACGTCCACGTCCACGTCCATGTCCACGTCCATGTCCACGTCCACGTCCACGTCCAAGTCCATGTCCATGTCCACGTCACGTCCACGTCCACGTCCACGTCCATGTCCACGTCCACGTCCACGTCCACGTCCACGTCCACGTCCACGTCCACGTCCACGTCCACGTCCACGTCCACGTCCACGTCCATGTCCACGTCCACGTCCACGTCCACGTCCACGTCCACGTCCACGTCCACGTCCACGTCCACGTCCACGTCCATTCCACGTCCACGTCCACGTCCACGTCCACGTCCACGTCCACGTCCACGTCCACGTCCATGTCCATGTCCACGTCCACGTCCAGGTCCACGTCCAGGTCCACGTCCACGTCCCACGTCCACGACGTCCACGTCCACGTCCATGTCCACGTCCACGTCCATCCACGTCCATGTCCATGTCCACGTCCACGTCCACGTCCACGTCCACGTCCATGTCCACGTCCACGTCCACGTCCATGTCCACGTCCATGTCCACGTCCACGTCCACGTCCACGTCCATGTCCACGTCCACGTCCACGTCCACGTCCACGTCCACGTCCATGTCCACGTCCACGTCCACGTCCAGTCCACGTCCAGGTCCACGTCCACGTCCACGTCCACGTCCACGTCCATGTCCATGTCCACGTCCACGTCCACGTCCATGTCCACGTCCACGTCCACGTCCATGTCCACGTCCATGTCCACGTCCATGTCCACGTCCACGTCCACGTCCATGTCCACGTCCACGTCCACGTCCACGTCCACGTCCACGTCCACGTCCACGTCCACGTCCACGTCCAGTCCACGTCCACGTCCATGTCCACGTCCACGTCCACGTCCATGTCCACGTCCACGTCCACGTCCATGTCCACGTCCACGTCCACGTCCATGTCCACGTCCACGTCCACGTCCACGTCCACGTCCACGTCCACGTCCACGTCCACGTCCATGTCCATGTCCATGTCCACGTCCAAGTCCACGTCCACGTCGACGTCCACGTCCAAGTCCACGTCCACGTCCACGTCCACGTCCACGTCCACGTCCACGTCCACGTCCATGTCCACGTCCACGTCCACGTCCACGTCCACGTCCACGTCCACGTCCACGTCCACGTCCACGTCCACGTCCATGTCCACGTCCACGTCCACGTCCATGTCCACGTCCATGTCCACGTCCACGTCCACGTCCACGTCCACGTCCACGTCCACGTCCACGTCCACGTCCACGTCCACGTCCACGTCCACGTCCATGTCCACGTCCACGTCCACGTCCACGTCCACGTCCACGTACGTCACGTCCATGTCCACGTCCACGTCCACGTCCATGTCCACGTCCATGTCCACGTCCACGTCCACGTCCACGTCCACGTCCACGTCCACGTCCATGTCCACGTCCCACGTCCACGTCCACGTCCACGTCCACGTCCACGTCCACGTCCACGTCCACGTCCACGTCCACGTCCACGTCCATGTCCACGTCCATGTCCACGTCCACGTCCACGTCCACGTCCACGTCACGTCCATGTCCACGTCCACGTCCACGTCCACGTCCACGTCCATGTCCACGTCCACGTCCACGTCCACGTCCACGTCCATGTCCATGTCCACGTCCAGTCCACGTCCACGTCCACGTCCACGTCCATGTCCACGTCCACGTCCACAACCACGTCCATGTCCACGTCCACGTCCACGTCCATGTCCACGTCCATGTCCACGTCCACGTCCACGTCCATGTCCACGTCCACTTCCATGTCCACGTCCACGTCCACGTCCACGTCCACGTCCATGTCCATGTCCACGTCCACGTCCACGTCCACGTCCATGTCCACGTCCACGTCCACGTCCACGTCCACGTCCACGTCCATGTCCACGTCCATGTCCACGTCCACGTCCACGTCCATGTCCACGTCCACGTCCACGTCCATGTCCACGTCCACGTCCACGTCCTTGTCCACGTCCACGTCCACGTCCATGTCCACGTCCACGTCCACGTCCACGTCCACGTCCCCCGTCCACGTCCAGGTCCAGTCCACGTCCACGTCCACGTCCATGTCCACGTCCATGTCCACGTCCACGTCCACGTCCACGTCCATGTCCATGTCCACGTCCACGTCCACGTCCACGTCCACGTCCATGTCCACGTCCACGTCCACGTCCACGTCCACGTCCACGTCTATGTCCACGTCCACGTCCACGTCCACGTCCATGTCCACGTCCACGTCCACGTCCACGTCCACGTCCACGTCCACGTCCACGTCCACGTCCACGTCCACGTCCACGTCCACGTCCACGTCCACGTCCACGTCCCGTCCACGTCCACGTCCACGTCCACGTCCATGTCCACGTCCACGTCCACGTCCAGGTCCACGTCCAGTCCACGTCCACGTCCACGTCCACGTCCACGTCCATGTCCACGTCCACGTCCATGTCCACGTCCATGTCCATGTCCACGTCCACGTCCACGTCCACGTCCAGTCCACGTCCACGTCCACGTCCATGTCCACGTCCGTCCACGTCCACGTCCACGTCCAGTCCACGTCCACGTCAACGTCCACGTCCACGTCCATGTCCATGTCCACGTCCACGTCCACGTCCATGTCAACGTCCAGGTCCACGTCCACGTCCACGTCCACGTCCACGTCCATGTCCATGTCCACGTCCACGTCCACGTCCATGTCCACGTCCACGTCCACGTCCATGTCCACGTCCATGTCCAGTCCATGTCCACGTCCACGTCCACGTCCATGTTTACGTCCACGTCCAACGTCCACGTCCACGTCCACGTCCACGTCCACGTCCACGTCCACGTCCACGTCCACGTCCATGTCCACGTCCATGTCCATGTCCATGTCCACGTCCAGGTCCACGTCCACGTCCACGTCCAAGTCCACGTCCACGTCCACGTCCACGTCCATGTCCATGTCCATGTCCACGTCCACGTCCACGTCCACGTCCATGTCCACGTCCACGTTCACGTCCATGTCCACGTCCACGTCCACGTCCATGTCCACGTCCACGTCCACGTCCATGTCCACGTCCACGTCACGTCCACGTCCACGTCCACGTCCACGTCCACGTCCACGTCCACGTCCACGTCCACGTCCATGTCCACGTCCATGTCCCACGTCCACGTCCACGTCCACGTCCACGTCCACGTCCATGTCCACGTCCACGTCCACGTCCATGTCCACGTCCATGTCCACGTCCACGTCCACGTCCACGTCCACGTCCACGTCCACGTCCATGTCCACGTCCACGTCCACGTCCACGTCCACGTCCACGTCCACGTCCACGTCCACGTCCATGTCCACGTCACGTCCACGTCCACGTCCACGTCCACGTCCACGTCCACGTCCATGTCCACGTCCACGTCCACGTCCATGTCCACGTCCATGTCCACGTCCACGTCCACGTCCACGTCCACGTCCACGTCCATGTCCACGTCCACGTCCACGTCCACGTCCACGTCCACGTCCACGTCCACGTCCACGTCCACGTCCACGTCCACGTCCATGTCCACGTCCACGTCCACGTCCACGTCCACGTCCACGTCCACGTCCACGTCCATGTCCACGTCTACGTCCACACGTCCACACGTCCACGTCCATGTCCACGTCCACGTCCACGTCCACGTCCACGTCCATGTCCATGTCCACGTCCACGTCCACGTCCACGTCCACGTCCACGTCCATCCACGTCCACGTCCACAACCACGTCCATGTCCACGTCCACGTCCACGTCCATGTCCACGTCCATGTCCACGTCCACGTCCACGTCCATGTCCACGTCCATGTCCACGTCCACGTCCACGTCCACGTCCACGTCCATGTCCATGTCCACGTTCACGTCCACGTCCACGTCCACGTCCACGTCCACGTCCACGTCCACGTCCACGTCCACGTCCATGTCCACGTCCATGTCCACGTCCACGTCCACGTCCATGTCCACGTCCACGTCCACGTCCATGTCCACGTCCACGTCCACGTCCATGTCCACGTCCACGTCCACGTCCACGTCCACGTCCACGTCCACGTCCACGTCCACGTCCACGTCCAAGTCCACGTCCACGTCCACGTCCATGTCCACGTCCATGTCCACGTCTACGTCCACGTCCACGTCCATGTCCATGTCCACGTCCACGTCCACACGTCCACGTCCACGTCCATGTCCACGTCCACGTCCAGTCCACGTCCACGTCCCACCCCCCCCCCCCCCCCCACCCCCACGTCCACGTCCATCCACCCACGTCCATGTCCACGTCCACGTCCACGTCCACGTCCACGTCCACGTCCACGTCCACGTCCACGTCCACGTCCACGTCCACGTCCACGTCCACGTCCACGTCCACGTCCACGTCCACGTCCACGTCCACGTCCACGTCCACGTCCACGTCCACGTCCACGTCCATGTCCACGTCCACGTCCACGTCCACGTCCACGTCCACGTCCACGTCCACGTCCACGTCCATGTCCACGTCCACGTCCACGTCCAAGTCCACGTCCACGTCCACGTCCACGTCCACGTCCACGTCCACGTCCATGTCCACGTCCACGTCCACGTCCACGTCCACGTCCAGGTCCACGTCCACGTCCACGTCCACGTCCACGTCCAAGTCCACGTCCACGTCCACGTCCACGTCCACGTCCACGTCCACGTCCAGTTCCACGTCCAAGTCCACGTCCACGTCCACGTCCACGTCCACGTCCAGGTCCACGTCCACGTCCACGTCCACGTCCATGTCCACGTCCACGTCCACGTCCACGTCCACGTCCACGTCCACGTCCACGTCCACGTCCACGTCCACGTCCACGTCCAGTCCACGTCCACTTCCACGTCCACGTCCAGGTCCACGTCCACGTCCACGTCCACGTCCACGTCCATGTCCACGTCCATGTCCACGTCCACGTCCACGTCCACGTCCACGTCCACGTCCACGTCCACGTCCACGTCCAGTCCACGTCCACGTTCACGTCCATGTCCACGTCCACGTCCACGTCCACGTCCACGTCCACGTCCATGTCCACGTCCACGTCCACGTCCACGTCCACGTCCACGTCCATGTCCATGTCCACGTCCACGTCCACGTCCACGTCCACGTCCACGTCCACGTCCACGTCCACGTCCACGTCCATGTCCACGTCCACGTCCACGTCCACGTCCACGTCCACCCACGTCCACCCCCGTCCATGTCCACGTCCATGTCCCAACCACGTCCATGTCCACGTCCACGTCCACGTCCACGTCCAAGTCCAGGTCCACGTCCACGTCCACGTCCACGTCCACGTCCAAGTCCACGTCCACATCCACGTCCACGTCCACGTCCACGTCCACGTCCACGTCCATGTCCAGTCCACGTCCACGTCCATGTCCACGTCCATGTCCACGTCCATGTCCACGTCCACGTCCACGTCCACGTCCACGTCCACGTCCATGTCCATGTCCACGTCCACGTCCACGTCCATGTCCCCGTCCACGTCCACGTCCACGTCCATGTCCACGTCCACGTCCACGTCCACGTCCACGTCCACGTCCACGTCCACGTCCACGTCCATGTCCACGTCCACGTCAACGTCCACGTCCACGTCCATGTCCATGTCCACGTCCACGTCCACGTCCATGTCCACGTCCACGTCCACGTCCACGTCCATGTCCATGTCCACGTCCACGTCCACGTCCCCACGTCCACGTCCACGTCCACGTCCACGTCCACGTCCATGTCCACGTCCACGTCCACGTCCACGTCCATGTCCATGTCCACGTCCATGTCCACGTCCACGTCCAGGTCCACGTCCACGTCCACGTCCACGTCCACGTCCATGTCCACGTCCATGTCCACATCCACGTCCATGTCCACGTCCCGTCCATGTCCACGTCCACGTCCACGTCCATGTCCACGTCCACGTCCACGTCCACGTCCATGTCCATGTCCACGTCCATGTCCACGTCCACGTCCACGTCCACGTCCACGTCCACGTCCACGTCCACGTCCATGTCCACGTCCACGTCACGTCCACGTCCACGTCCATGTCCACGTCCACGTCCACGTCCATGTCAACGTCCAGGTCCACGTCCACGTCCACGTCCACGTCCACGTCCACGTCCATGTCCATGTCCACGTCCACGTCCACGTCCCACGTCCACGTCCACGTCCACGTCCACGTCCACGTCCATGTCCACGTCCACGTCCAGTCCACGTCCACGTCCACGTCCACGTCCACGTCCACGTCCATGTCCACGTCCACGTCCACGTCCATGTCCACGTCCATGTCCACGTCCACGTCCACGTCCACGTCCACGTCCACGTCCACGTCCATGTCCACGTCCACGTCCACGTCCACGTCCACGTCCACGTCCACGTCCACGTCCATGTCCACGTCCACGTCCACGTCCACGTCCACGTCCACGTCCACGTCCACGTCCACGTCCACGTCCACGTCCACGTCCACGTCCACGTCCATGTCCACGTCCATGTCCACGTCCACGTCCACGTCCACGTCCACGTCCACGTCCATGTCCACGTCCACGTCCACGTCCACGTCCATTCCACGTCCCCACGTCCATGTCCACGTCCACGTCCACGTCCACGTCCACGTCCCCGTCCACGTCCACCACCCACCCACACCCATGTCCACGTCCACGTCCACGTCCATGTCCACGTCCATGTCCACGTCCACGTCCACGTCCATGTCCACGTCCATGTCCACGTCCACGTCCACGTCCACGTCCACGTCCACGTCCACGTCCATGTCCATGTCCACGTCCACGTCCACGTCCACGTCCATGTCCATGTCCACGTCCACGTCCACGTCCACGTCCACGTCCACGTCCACGTCCATGTCCACGTCCATGTCCACGTCCACGTCCACGTCCACGTCCACGTCCACGTCCATGTCCACGTCCATGTCCACGTCCATGTCCACGTCCACGTCTCGTCCACGTCCACGTCCACGTCCACGTCCACGTCCACGTCCACGTCCACGTCCATGTCCATGTCCACGTCCACGTCCACGTCCACGTCCACGTCCATGTCCACGTCCACGTCCATGTCCACGTCCACGTCCACGTCCACGTCCACGTCCACGTCCATGTCCACGTCCATGTCCACGTCCATGTCCACGTCCATGTCCACGTCCATGTCCACGTCCATGTCCACGTCCACGTCCACGTCCACGTCCACGTCCATGTCCATGTCCACGTCCACGTCCACGTCCATGTCCACGTCCACGTCCACGTCCACGTCCATGTCCACGTCCACGTCCACGTCCACGTCCACGTCCACGTCCACGTCCACGTCCATGTCCACGTCCACGTCAACGTCCACGTCCACGTCCATGTCCACGTCCACGTCCACGTCCACGTCCATGTCCACGTCCACGTCCACGTCCACGTCCATGTCCATGTCCACGTCCACGTCCACGTCCACGTCCACGTCCACGTCCACGTCCACGTCCACCCCCCACGTCCACGTCCACGTCCACGTCCATGTCCACGTCCACGTCCACGTCCACGTCCATGTCCATGTCCACGTCCATGTCCACGTCCACGTCCAGGTCCACGTCCACGTCCACGTCCACGTCCACGTCCATGTCCACGTCCATGTCCACGTCCACGTCCATGTCCACGTCCACGTCCATGTCCACGTCCACGTCCACGTCCATGTCCACGTCCACGTCCACGTCCACGTCCACGTCCATGTCCACGTCCATGTCCACGTCCACGTCCACGTCCACGTCCACGTCCATGTCCACGTCCACGTCAACGTCCACGTCCACGTCCATGTCCATGTCCACGTCCACGTCCACGTCCATGTCACGTCCAGGTCCACGTCCACGTCCACGTCCACGTCCACATCCACGTCCATGTCCATGTCCACGTCCACGTCCACGTCCATGTCCACGTCCACGTCCACGTCCATGTCCACGTCCATGTCCACGTCCATGTCCACGTCCACGTCCACGTCCATGTCCACGTCCACGTACGTCCACGTCCACGTCCAGGTCCAGTCCACGTCCACGTCCACGTCCACGTCCACGTCCACGTCCACATCCATGTCCACGTCCATGTCCATGTCCATGTCCACGTCCAGTCCACGTCCACGTCCAAGTCCACGTCCACGTCCACGTCCACGTCCATGTCCAGTCCACGTCCACGTCCACGTCCACGTCCACGTCCATGTCCACGTCCACGTCCACGTCCATGTCCACGTCCACGTCCACGTCCATGTCCACGTCCACGTCCACGTCCATGTCCACGTCCACGTCCACGTCCACGTCCACGTCCACGTCCACGTCCACGTCCACGTCCATGTCCATGTCCATGTCCACGTCCAAGTCCACGTCCACGTCCACGTCCACGTCCAAGTCCACGTCCACGTCCACGTCCACGTCCACGTCCACGTCCACGTCCACGTCCACGTCCATGTCCACGTCCACGTCCACGTCCACGTCCACGTCCACGTCCACGTCCACGTCCACGTCCACGTCCATGTCCACGTCCACGTCCACGTCCATGTCCACGTCCATGTCCACGTCCACGTCCACGTCCACGTCCACGTCCACCCGTCCACGTCCACGTCCACGTCCACGTCCACGTCCACGTCCACGTCCACGTCCACGTCCACGTCCACGTCCACGTCCATGTGTCCACGTCCACGTCCACGTCCACGTCCACGTCCACGTCCACGTCCACGTCCATGTCCACGTCCACGTCCACGTCCATGTCCACGTCCATGTCCACGTCCACGTCCACGTCCACGTCCACGTCCACGTCCACGTCCATGTCCACGTCCACGTCCACGTCCACGTCCACGTCCACGTCCACGTCCACGTCCACGTCCACGTCCACGTCCACGTCCACGTCCACGTCCATGTCCACGTCCACGTCCACGTCCACGTCCACGTCCACGTCCATGTCCACGTCCACGTCCACGTCCACGTCCACGTCCATGTCCACGTCCACGTCCACGTCCACGTCCACGTCCATGTCCATGTCCACGTCCACGTCCACGTCCACGTCCACGTCCACGTCCATGTCCACGTCCACGTCCACACCACGTCCACGTCCACGTCCACGTCCACGTCCACGTCCACGTCCATGTCCACGTCCACGTCCACGTCCATGTCCACGTCCACGTCCACGTCCACGTCCACGTCCACGTCCACGTCCGTCCATGTCCACGTCCACGTCCACGTCCACGTCCATGTCCACGTCCACGTCCACGTCCACGTCCACGTCCACGTCCATGTCCACGTCCACGTCCACGTCCACGTCCACGTCCATGTCCACGTCCACGTTCACGTCCATGTCCACGTCCACGTCCACGTCCATGTCCACGTCCATGTCCACGTCCATGTCCACGTCCACGTCCACGTCCACGTCCACGTCCACGTCCAGGTCCACGTCCACGTCCACGTCCACGTCCATGTCCACGTCTATGTTCACGTCCACGTCCACGTCCAAGTCCATGTCCATGTCCACGTACACGTCCACGTCCACGTCCACGTCCATGTCCACGTCCACGTCCACGTCCACGTCCACGTCCACGTCTACGTCCACGTCCACGTCCACGTCCACGTCCACGTCCACGTCCATGTCCACGTCCACGTCCACGTCCACGTCCACGTCCACGTCCACGTCCACGTCCACGTCCACGTCCACGTCCACGTCCACGTCCACGTCCACGTCCACGTCCACGTCCACGTCCACGTCCACGTCCACGTCCACGTCCATGTCCATGTCCACGTCCACGTCCATGTCCACGTCACGTCCACGTCCACGTCCACGTCCACGTCCACGTCCATGTCCACGTCCACGTCCATGTCCACGTCCACGTCCATGTCCACGTCCACGTCCACGTCCACGTCCACGTCCATGTCCACGTCCACGTCCACGTCCGTCACGTCCACGTCCATGTCCACGTCCACGTCCACGTCCACGTCCATGTCCACGTCCACGTCCACGTCCACGTCCACGTCCATGTCCATGTCCACGTCCACGTCCACGTCCATGTCCAACGTCCACGTCCACGTCCACGTCCACGTCCACGTCCACGTCCATGTCCATGTCCACGTCCACGTCACGTCCATGTCCACGTCCACGTCCACGTCCATGTCCACGTCCATGTCCACGTCCACGTCCACGTCCACGTCCACGTCCATGTCCACGTCCACGTAAACGTCCACGTCCACGTCCACGTCCACGTCCACGTCCACGTCCACGTCCACGTCCACGTCCACGTCCACGTCCAGTCCACGTCCACGTCCACGTCCATGTCCACGTCCACGTCACGTCCATGTCCACGTGTCCCACGTCCAACGTCCACGTCCTGTCATGTCCACGTCCACGTCCACGTCCACGTCCACGTCCACGTCCACGTCCACGTCCACGTCCACGTCCACGTCCACAGTCCATGTCCATGTCCATGTCCACGTCCAAGTCCATCCACGTCCACGTCCACGTCACAGTCCACGTCCACGTCCACGTCCACGTCCACGTCCACGTCCACGTCCACGTCCACGTCCACGTCCATGTCCACGTCCACGTCCACCACGTCCACGTCCACGTCCACGTCCACGTCCACGTCCACGTCCACGTCCACGTCCATGTCCACGTCCACGTCCACGTCCATGTCCACGTCCATGTCCACGTCCACGTCCACGTCCACGTCCACGTCCACGTCCACGTCCACGTCCACGTCCACGTCCACGTCCACGTCCACGTCCACGTCCACGTCCATGTCCACGTCCACGTCCACGTCCACGTCCACGTCCACGTCCACGTCCACGTCCATGTCCACGTCCACGTCCACGTCCATGTCCACGTCCATGTCCACGTCCACGTCCACGTCCACGTCCACGTCCACGTCCACGTCCATGTCCACGTCCACGTCCACGTCCACGTCCACGTCCACGTCCACGTCCACGTCCACGTCCACGTCCACGTCCACGTCCACGTCCACGTCCACGTCCACGTCCACGTATCCACGTCCACGTCCACGTCCACGTCCACGTCCATGTCCACGTCCACGTCCACGTCCACGTCCACGTCCATGTCCACGTCCACGTCCACGTCCACGTCCACACCGTCCACGTCCATGTCCACGTCCACGTCCACGTCCACGTCCACGTCCACGTCCATGTCCACGTCCACGTCCAACCACGTCCATGTCCACGTCCACGTCCACGTCCATGTCCACGTCCATGTCCACGTCCACGTCCACGTCCATGTCCACGTCCATGTCCACGTCCACGTCCACGTCCACGTCCACGTCCATGTCCATGTCCACTTCACGTCCACGTCCACGTCCATGTCCACGTCCACGTCCACGTCCACGTCCACGTCCACGTCCATGTCCACGTCCATGTCCACGTCCACGTCCACGTCCATGTCCACGTCCACGTCCACGTCCATGTCCACGTCCACGTCCACGTCTTGTCCACGTCCACGTCCACGTCCATGTCCACGTCCACGTCCACGTCCACGTCCACGTCCACGTCCAGGTCCAGTCCACGTCCACGTCCACGTCCATGTCCACGTCCATGTCCGTCCACGTCCACGTCCAAGTCCATGTCCATGTCCACGTCCACGTCCACGTCCACGTCCACGTCCATGTCCACGTCCACGTCCACGTCCACGTCCACGTCCACGTCCACGTCCACGTCCACGTCCACGTCCACGTCCACGTCCACGTCCACGTCCATGTCCACGTCCACGTCACGTCCACGTCCACGTCCACGTCCACGTCCACGTCCACGTCCACGTCCCACTCCACGTCCACGTCCACGTCCACGTCCACGTCCACGTCCACGTCCACGTCCACGTCCACGTCCACGTCCACGTCCACGTCCACGTCCAGTCCACGTCCGGTCCACGTCCACGTCCACGTCCACGTCCACGTCCATGTCCACGTCCACGTCCATGTCCACGTCCATGTCCATGTCCACGTCCACGTCCACGTCCACGTCCACGTCCATGTCCACGTCCACGTCCACGTCCATGTCCACGTCCATGTCCACGTCCACGTCCACGTCCACGTCCATGTCCACGTCCACGTCCACGTCCACCAACGTCCACGTCCACGTCCATGTCCATGTCCACGTCCACGTCCACGTCCATGTCAACGTCCAGTCCACGTCCACGTCCACGTCCACGTCCACGTCCATGTCCATGTCCACGTCCACGTCCACGTCCACGTCCATGTCCACGTCCACGTCCACGTCCATGTCCACGTCCATGTCCACGTCCATGTCCACGTCCACGTCCACGTCCATGTCCACGTCCACGTAACGTCCACGTCCACGTCCACGTCCACGTCCACGTCCACGTCCACGTCCACGTCCACGTCCATGTCCACGTCCCCACGTCCATGTCCATGTCCATGTCCACGTCCACGTCCACGTCCACGTCCACGTCCAAGTCCACGTCCACGTCCACGTCCACGTCCATGTCCATGTCCATGTCCACGTCCACGTCCACGTCCACGTCCATGTCCACGTCCACGTCACGTCCATGTCCACGTCCACGTCCACGTCCATGTCCACGTCCACGTCCACGTCCATGTCCACGTCCACGTCCACGTCCACGTCCACGTCCACGTCCACGTCCACGTCCACGTCCACGTCCACGTCCATGTCCACGTCCATGTCCACGTCCACGTCCACGTCCACGTCCACGTCCACGTCCATGTCCACGTCCACGTCCACGTCCATGTCCACGTCCATGTCCACGTCCACGTCCACGTCCACGTCCACGTCCACGTCCACGTCCATGTCCACGTCCACGTCCACGTCCACGTCCACGTCCACGTCCACGTCCACGTCCACGTCCACGTCCACGTACACGTCCACGTCCACGTCCACGTCCACGTCCACGTCCACGTCATGTCCACGTCCACGTCCACGTCCACGTCCACGTCCACCCATGTCCACGTCCACGTCCACGTCCACGTCCACGTCCACGTCCATGTCCACGTCCACGTCCACGTCCACGTCCACGTCCACGTCCACGTCCACGTCCACGTCACGTCCACGTCCACGTCCATGTCCACGTCCACGTCCACGTCCACGTCCACGTCCACGTCCACGTCCACGTCCATGTCACGTCCACGTCCACGTCCACGTCCACGTCCATGTCCACGTCCACGTCCACGTCCACGTCCACGTCCATGTCCATGTCCACGTCCACGTCCACGTCCACGTCCACGTCCACGTCCATGTCCACGTCCACGTCCACGCCACGTCCACGTCCACGTCCACGTCCATGTCCACGTCCATGTCCACGTCCACGTCCACGTCCATGTCCACGTCCATGTCCACGTCCACGTCCACCCACGTCCACGTCCATGTCCATGTCCACGTCACGTCCACGTCCACGTCCATGTCCACGTCCACGTCCACGTCCACGTCCACGTCCACGTCCATGTCCACGTCCATGTCCACGTCCACGTCCACGTCCATGTCCACGTCCACGTTCACGTCCATGTCCACGTCCACGTCCACGTCCATGTCCACGTCCACGTCCACGTCCACGTCCACGTCCACGTCCACGTCCACGTCCACGTCCAAGTCCACGTCCACGTCCACGTCCATGTCCACGTCCACGTCCATGTCCACGTCCACGTCCACGTCCAAGTCCATGTCCATGTCCACGTACACGTCCACGTCCACGTCCACGTCCATGTCCACGTCCACGTCCACGTCCACGTCCACGTCCACGTCCACGTCCACGTCCACGTCCACGTCCACGTCCACGTCCACGTCCACGTCCACGTCCACGTCCACGTCCATGTCCACGTCCACGTCCACGTCCACGTCCACGTCCACGTCCACGTCCACGTCCACGTCCATGTCCACGTCCACTTTCAACGTCCACGTCCACGTCCACGTCCACGTCCACGTCCACGTCCACGTCCACGTCCACGTCCCACGTCCACGTCCACGTCCACGTCCACGTCCACGTCCATGTCCATGTCCACGTCCACGTCCAGGTCCACGTCCAGGTCCACGTCCACGTCCACGTCCACGTCCACGTCCATGTCCACGTCCACGTCCATGTCCACGTCCATGTCCATGTCCACGTCCACGTCCACGTCCACGTCCACGTCCATGTCCACGTCCACGTCCACGTCCATGTCCACGTCCATGTCCACGTCCACGTCCACGTCCACGTCCATGTCCACGTCCACGTCCACGTCCACGTCCACGTCCATGTCCATGTCCACGTCCACGTCCACGTCCATGTCCACGTCCGGTCCACGTCCCGTCCACGTCCACGTCCACGTCCATGTCCATGTCCACGTCCACGTCCACGTCCATGTCCACGTCCACGTCCACGTCCATGTCCACGTCCATGTCCACGTCCATGTCCACGTCCACGTCCACGTCCATGTTCACGTCCACGTCCACGTCCACGTCCACGTCCACGTCCACGTCCACGTCTCGTCCACGTCCACGTCCACGTCCATGTCCACGTCCATGTCCACGTCCATGTCCATGTCCACGTCCACGTCCACGTCCACGTCCACGTCCAAGTCCACGTCCACGTCCACGTCCACGTCCATGTCCAGGTCCATGTCCACGTCCACGTCCACGTCCACGTCCATGTCCACGTCCACGTCCACGTCCATGTCCACGTCCACGTCCACGTCCATGTCCACGTCCACGTCCACGTCCATGTCCACGTCCACGTCCACGTCCACGTCCACGTCCACGTCCACGTCCACGTCCACGTCCACGTCCACGTCCATGTCCACGTCCATGTCCACGTCCACGTCCACGTCCACGTCCACGTCCACGTCCATGTCCACGTCCACGTCCACGTCCATGTCCACGTCCATGTCCACGTCCACGTCCACGTCCACGTCCACGTCCACGTCCACGTCCATGTCCACGTCCACGTCCACGTCCACGTCCACGTCCACGTCCACGTCCACGTCCACGTCCATGTCCACGTCCACGTCCACGTCCACGTCCACGTCCACGTCCACGTCCACGTCCATGTCCACGTCCACGTCCACGTCCATGTCCACGTCCATGTCCACGTCCACGTCCACGTCCACGTCCATCCACGTCCATGTCCACGTCCACGTCCACGTCCACGTCCACGTCCACGTCCACGTCCACGTCCACGTCCACGTCCACGTCCACGTCCACGTCCACGTCCATGTCCCGTCCACGTCCACGTCCACGTCCACGTCCACGTCCACGTCCACGTCCATGTCCACGTCCACGTCCACGTCCACGTCCACGTCCATGTCCACGTCCACGTCCACGTCCACGTCCATGTCCATGTCCACGTCCACGTCCACGTCCACGTCCACGTCCACGTCCATGTCCACGTCCACGTCCACAACCACGTCCATGTCCACGTCCACGTCCACGTCCATGTCCACGTCCATGTCCACGTCCACGTCCACGTCCATGTCCACGTCCATGTCCACGTCCACGTCCACGTCCACGTCCACGTCCATGTCCATGTCCACGTCCACGTCCACGTCCACGTCCATGTCCACGTCCACGTCCACGTCCACGTCCACGTCCACGTCCATGTCCACGTCCATGTCCACGTCCACGTCCACGTCCATGTCCACGTCCACGTCCACGTCCATGTCCACGTCCACGTCCACGTCCTGTCCACGTCCACGTCCACGTCCATGTCCACGTCCACGTCCACGTCCACGTCCACGTCCACGTCCACGTCCACGTCCACGTCCACGTCCACGTCCATGTCCACGTCCATGTCCACGTCCACGTCCACGTCCAAGTCCATGTCCATGTCCACGTCCACGTCCACGTCCACGTCCACGTCCATGTCCACGTCCACGTCCACTGTCCACGTCCACGTCCACGTCCACGTCCACGTCCACGTCCACGTCCACGTCCACGTCCATGTCCACGTCCACGTCCACGTCCACGTCCACGTCCACGTCCACGTCCACGTCCACGTCCACGTCCACGTCCACGTCCACGTCCACGTCCACGTCCACGTCCACGTCCACGTCCACGTCCATCGTCCACGTCCACGTCCACGTCCACGTCCACGTCCACGTCCACGTCCACGTCCACGTCCACGTCCACGTCCACGTCCACGTCCACGTCCACGTCCACGTCCACGTCCACGTCCACGTCCACGTCCACGTCCACGTCCACGTCCACGTCCACGTTCCCGTCCACGTCCACGTCCACGTCCATGTCCACGTCCACGTCCATGTCCACGTCCACGTCCACGTCCACGTCCACGTCCATGTCCACGTCCATGTCCACGTCCATGTCCACGTCCATGTCCACGTCCATGTCCACGTCCATGTCCACGTCCACGTCCACGTCCACGTCCATGTCCATGTCCACGTCCACGTCCACGTCCATGTCCACGTCCACGTCCACGTCCACGTCCATGTCCACGTCCACGTCCACGTCCAGTCCACGTCCACGTCCACGTCCACGTCCATGTCCACGTCCACGTCCACGTCCACGTCCACGTCCATGTCCATGTCCACGTCCACGTCCACGTCCATGTCCACGTCCACGTCACGTCCACGTCCACGCCATCCATGTCCATGTCCACGTCCACGTCCACGTCCACGTCCACGTCCACGTCCACGTCCACGTCCACGTCCATGTCCACGTCCACGTCCACGTCCATGTCCATGTCCACGTCCACGTCCACGTCCACGTCCAGTCCACGTCACGTCCACGTCCACGTCCACGTCCATGTCCACGTCCACGTCCACGTCCACGTCCACGTCCATGTCCACGTCCACGTCCACGTCCATGTCCACGTCCACGTCCACGTCCACGTCCATGTCCATGTCCACGTCCATGTCCACGTCCACGTCCGTCACCGTCCACGTCCATGTCCACGTCCACGTCCACGTCCACGTCCACGTCCATGTCCATGTCCACGTCCACGTCCACGTCCATGTCCACGTCCACGTCCACGTCCACGTCCACGTCCACGTCCACGTCCACATCCACGTCCACGTCCATGTCCACGTCCACGTCCACGTCCATGTCCACGTCCACGTCCACGTCCATGTCCACGTCCTGTCCACGTCCATGTCCACGTCCACGTCCACGTCCCCATGTACCGTCCACGTCCACGTCCACGTCCACGTCCACGTCCACGTCCACGTCCACGTCCACGTCCACGTCCACGTCCACGTCCACGTCCATGTCCACGTCCATGTCCATGTCCATGTCCACGTCCACGTCCACGTCCACGTCCACGTCCACGTCCATGTCCAGTCCACGTCCCGTCCACGTCCACGTCCCCGTCCCACGTCCACGTCCACGTCCACGTCCACGTCCACGTCCTCCACGTCCACGTCCACGTCCACGTCCACGTCCACGTCCACGTCCACGTCCACGTCCATGTCCACGTCCACGTCCACGTCCACGTCCACGTCCACGTCCACGTCCACGTCCACGTCCACGTCCACGTCCACGTCCACGTCCACGTCCACGTCCCCACGTCCACGTCCACGTCCATGTCCACGTCCACGTCCACGTCCACGTCCACGTCCACGTCCACGTCCACGTCCATGTCCACGTCCACGTCCACGTCCATGTCCACGTCCATGTCCACGTCCACGTCCGTCCACGTCCACGTCCACGTCCACGTCCACGTCCATGTCCACGTCCATGTCCACGTCCACGTCCACGTCCACGTCCACGTCCACGTCCACGTCCACGTCCATGTCCACGTCCACGTCCACAACCACGTCCATGTCCACGTCCACGTCCACGTCCATGTCCACGTCCATGTCCACGTCCACGTCCACGTCCATGTCCACGTCCATGTCCACGTCCACGTCCACGTCCACGTCCACGTCCATGTCCATGTCCACGTCCACGTCCACGTCCACGTCCATGTCCACGTCCACGTCCACGTCCACGTCCACGTCCACGTCCATGTTCACGTCCATGTCCACGTCCACGTCCACGTCCATGTCCACGTCCACGTTCACGTCCATGTCCACGTCCACGTCCACATCCATGTCCACGTCCACGTCCACGTCCATGTCCACGTCCACGTCCACGTCCACGTCCCGTCCACGTCCACGTCCAAGTCCACGTCCACGTCCACGTCCATGTCCACGTTGTCCATGTCCACGTCCACGTCCACGTCCACGTCCATGTCCATGTCCACGTCCACGTCCACGTCCACGTCCACGTCCATGTCCACGTCCACGTCCACGTCCACGTCCACGTCCACGTCCACGTCCACGTCCACGTCCACGTCCACGTCCACGTCCATGTCCACGTCCACGTCCACGTCCACGTCCACGTCCACGTCCACGTCCACGTCCACGTCCACGTCCACGTCCACGTCCACGTCCACGTCCACGTCCACGTCCACGTCCACGTCCACGTCCACGTCCACGTCCACGTCCACGTCCACGTCCACGTCCACGTCCACGTCCACGTCCACGTCCACGTCCACGTCCACGTCCACGTCCACGTCCACGTCCACGTCCACGTCCACGTCCACGTCCACGTCCACGTCCATCGTCCACGTCCACGTCCACGTCCACGTCCACGTCCATGTCCACGTCCACGTCCATGTCCACGTCCACGTCCACGTCCACGTCCACGTCCATGTCCACGTCCATGTCCACGTCCATGTCCACGTCCACGTCCACGTCCATGTCCACGTCCACGTCCACGTCCACGTCCACGTCCATGTCCATGTCCACGTCCACGTCCACGTCCATGTCCACGTCCATTCCACGTCCACGTCCATGTCCACGTCCACGTCCACGTCCACGTCCACGTCCACGTCCACGTCCACGTCCATGTCCACGTCCACGTCCACGTCCACGTCCACGTCCATGTCCATGTCCACGTCCACGTCCACGTCCATGTCCACGTCCACGTCCACGTCCACGTCCATGTCCATGTCCACGTCCACGTCCACGTCCACGTCCACGTCCACGTCCACGTCCACGTCCACGTCCATGTCCACGTCCACGTCCACGTCCATGTCCATGTCCACGTCCATGTCCACGTCCACGTCCAGGTCCACGTCCACGTCCACGTCCATGTCCACGTCCATGTCCACGTCCACGTCCATGTCCACGTCCACGTCCATGTCCACGTCCACGTCCACGTCCATGTCCACGTCCACGTCCACGTCCACGTCCATGTCCATGTCCACGTCCATGTCCACGTCCACGTCCACGTCCACGTCCACGTCCATGTCCACGTCCACGTCACGTCCACGTCCACGTCCATGTCCATGTCCACGTCCACGTCCACGTCCATGTCCACGTCCAGGTCCACGTCCACGTCCACGTCCACGTCCACGTCCACGTCCACGTCCATGTCTGTCCACGTCCACGTCCACGTCCATGTCCACGTCCACGTCCACGTCCATGTCCACGTCCATGTCCACGTCCACGTGTCCACGTCCACGTCCACGTCCATGTTCACGTCCACGTCCACGTCCACGTCCACGTCCAGGTCCACGTCCAGTCCACGTCCACGTCCACGTCCACGTCCACGTCCACGTCCATGTCCACGTCCATGTCCATGTCCATGTCCACGTCCACGTCCACGTCCACGTCCACGTCCAAGTCCATGTCCATGTCCACGTACACGTCCACGTCCACGTCCACGTCCATGTCCACGTCCACGTCCCACGTCCACGTCCACGTCCACGTCCACGTCCCGTCCACGTCCACGTCCACGTCCACGTCCACGTCCATGTCCACGTCCACGTCCACGTCCACGTCCACGTCCACGTCCACGTCCACGTCCACGTCCACGTCCACGTCCACGTCCCACGTCCACGTCCACGTCCACGTCCACGTCCACGTCCACGTCCACGTCCATGTCCACGTCCACGTCCACGTCCACGTCCACGTCCACGTCCATGTCCACGTCCACGTCCACGTCCATGTCCACGTCCATGTCCACGTCCACGTCCACGTCCACGTCCACGTCCACGTCCACGTCCATGTCCACGTCCACGTCCACGTCCACGTCCACGTCCACGTCCACGTCCACGTCCACGTCCATGTCCACGTCCCGTCCACGTCCACGTCCACGTCCACGTCCACGTCCACGTCCATGTCCACGTCCACGTCCACGTCCATGTCCACGTCCATGTCCACGTCCACGTCCACGTCCACGTCCACGTCACGTCCATGTCCACGTCCACGTCCACGTCCACGTCCACGTCCACGTCCACGTCCACGTCCACGTCCACGTCCAAGTCCACGTCCACCCCCCCCCCCACGTCCAACGTCCACGTCCACGTCCCACGTCCATGTCCACGTCCACGTCCACGTCACCTTCCACGTCCACGTCCACGTCCCGTCCACGTCCACGTCCACGTCCAC